AGAGATGGGACCTCACTGTGTTGCTCATTTTGGAGTATAGCAGCTATTCACAGGTGCAATCACAGTAGCACACTGCAGTTTCAAACTCCTGGGCTCAAGCAATCTTCCTGCCTCTCAATACTTTTAGAAGAGACACACTGTTTCATTGTTCAACTTTTTGTGTTTATGTATACACACACAAACACAGACACAGTAAAAACTACGGAAATGAGATGCTGTAATATACTGGCATGGAAATGGATATATATCATCCATGAAAACAAAGTGATTGTAGAAAAGTCTTGATATATGAGAAGATAAAATATAAGGGAAGACTCACAAACCAATAGGTCAAGAGATTATTTGTCAGAGTTGAAAATAATTGACTCTGGTGGCAAGTGTTACATTCAGATCTCACATCATGCAAAGAATAAAATGCAAATACTTTTAAGAATTAGGTATGAAACATAAAAGCAAAAAATAGTGGAGAAAATGTTGATAGGCATAGAAAACGTTTTAGAATAAAGTTCTCATTTACCATAGTTATATGACCTATAAGATGCCTAGGAATAAATTTACATGAGGTATACAAAACCTTTCATGGAGAAAATGACAAAACAGTACTGAAGGATGTGTCAGATGGCCTAAATATATGCAGAAATATAGCAGGTTCGTGAAAGGAAAGACAAGATGGGGAAGATGACACTTCTCAAACTAATCTAGAAATGTAATGTAATTCAATTCAAAATCTAGACAGCATTTTCTAAGGAAACTGATGAGCTGACCTTAACATTCACAGAGATGAGAAAGAGACTATAATAGCTAAGACACATGAAATTTTCCCTACCAAGTATCAAGACTTATTTTTTAAAATATAGTAATTTAGATAGTGTGCTATTTGTGCAGAGTTGGACAAAACAGATCCAGGCATATATAGAGATTTGATGCGTGACAGAGAAGATCTTACAAATCAGTGAGGAAAGTATAACTATTCAACAAACGAGTCTGGGAAATTAGTTATCCTTCTGAAAAGAAAATTAAGTCACTATCTTATGCCACACAAAGATAAATTCCAGACAGACTAAAGATTTAAATGTCCAAATAAACCATGTAAACTTCTGGAAGAAAATAAAAGAGAGTATCTTTATAATCTTAAATCTTCCACAGACAAACACAAGAAAACAAAACAATTAAGGAAAAGACAGACAAATATAGTTATATTTGTCTATAACTACACTAAAATTATAAACTTAAATACAAGAAAAAAGCACCTTAAAATTAAAAGAAATTATAGACAGGAAGAAGATATTTGCAATGCATATAATCAACAAATGTTAGTATCTAAAACATGTAAAAAATGTTTACAATTCAGCAAGAAAAAGACAAATGTCCCAAATGGGCAGAATATATGAAACAGCAAATTCACAGAAGAGGAAACTTGAATGCCAAATAAATGGAAAGTTCCTTTATTTCTCTAGTTTTTAGGAAATGCAAACTAAACAAGAATATGTCATTTCACAGCCAACAGATTTGCAAAATGAAGGAAAAGAAACTTTCATACGTTGGTGGTATAAGTTGATAAATCATGCTGGAATGAAATTTCTTATTCTGCCCTTGTGAATCTGTAACCTAGAGAGGTTATCTGACATGGGCACAGGGAATCACACACCAGATTGGTTTCTGCAGCATGTTTGTAATAGTGAAAAATGGAAGTAACTTAAATGTTCATCAACCGAACAATAGATACGTCGATTGTACTATATTCAGTGATGGACTACTACCGAGCAAATCAAAAGAGGCAACTAGAGCAACGTAGGTAAGGCTCATCAAAACAATGATAAGGCAAGCTCCTCATAACGCTTGATATGATGTCATTTTCAAAACTAGATTCTTACTGTGGATACATGCATTTATGGTAATAGTCTAAAACATAGGGAAGATTGATCCAGATAGAGGTCATCTCTACTGCAAGAGGTAGGATAACCAAGAAGAGTGCCTGGGGAATGTCAAAATGTTAACATCTGATACATCTGAGTGTTGAGCACATGGGTATCTGTTATATCACTCTGTATATTAATAGATGTTTAAAACATCTTGCAGGCCAGGCATGGTGACTGACGCATGTAATCCCAGCACTTCGGGAGGACGAGGTGGGTGGATCACTTGAGGTCAGGAGTTCAAGATCAACCTGGCCAACCTGGTGAAACCCCATCTCTACTAAAAATATAAAAATTAGCTGGACGTGGTGGTGGGTGCCTGTAATCCCACTTACTTGGGAGGCTGAGGCAGGAGAATCACTTGAACTCGGGAGGCAGAGGTTGCAGTGAGCCGAGATTGTGCATTGTA